GAGATCCCTGGGGCAACAGAGGGTGAGAGCTACGGGGAGATCCCACAGGGCAGAGTGCGAGTCCTCATGGTAACACACCCCATTTCTTTGCGAGCTGCAAACTCTCCAAGGCCTCCTGAAAACCCTGAGTGTATCCATCAGTGGGTTTATTTTCTCACTATTGTACTTCCTCTTAGTTCACCCTTGTTATGCATCTATCACTATGTAATTCTGCTCAGTAGGTTGCTTTGGCTGTTTTTGTCACTTGGCTTTTTCACTTCAAGGCCAAGGAAGACCTTTTTCTTTTTTTTCTTCCCAAGTTATTTCCCAGGTTCTTCCTATATTTTCCTGGTATCTAGTGCAGAAAGAGTATTAAAATGCATATGGAGAAGGTAGGAAAACTGGCCCTAGAACTTGGGGATATAGTAATGCTACTGAAGTTTCAGATGTGGTAATGGTACATATGTTTCTATGTCCATATCTGTGTAACCCAGAAAATCCTGTTTGTTTTTTTCTTTTTATTCTCCCCTCATTTCAAACATGGAGTAGATTAAAGGTATATTTTTAGTTAAATGTTCCCTTATACATGAATAAAACTATTGTACACAGAAATAAATGTATACATGAACTGTTGTATACATGAATAAAGCTACAATATTCTGGGCCACACCATAAGTCGCATAATAGAGGTTGGGTAATAAAGACTAACCCTACCAAGTACTCAAGTATTTGATGTAAAACTTCTATGACATTTTTGTCTTCTCTGCCTGCAGATAAAGAGCTACAGTTTCACATTGTTAAGCAAGCTAGAGCTCAAAGTGCAAAGGAAGGCACAGGCTACAGTGAAGGTGAGTAGCAAGCAGGTGCTGAGATCACTTTGCCAGCTCTTGTCTCCCTCCTGGTATCTTCCTTCATTTCGTTGTGAACTGCTGTGAGGAATTTATTTATTTTTAATATTTCTCCCCTTCTATATCTTGGAGTATAACTGCTTTCTCTATTTGGGGCAGCTAGATAAAAGAATTTGAGTCTGATGTGCTCACACTTTGAGTTACCTTTGGTACTGGAAAATCAACTGTGCAATATTCAGGAGTTTCTTAAAGCAGTAGTCCTCTGCTTCCCATCCCACTCCATACACTTTACTATCTGCCTGCATTTCCTTCTGTTCTTTGTGGCCCAAACTCTTCCTATGGTGCCTCCAACCTTGTTCTTCATGTAATGTTTTATTTAGGGATTCTTTGGTAGGTGTGAGCTGTGTGGGCTTGTCCACCTCAGATCAAAAACTAAACAACATAGCATATTATTATGTTGGATTGTTTCAAGACTGTCCTAAGAGCTGTATAAGAGCTATGCTGACACATGTGCAAATATGATGTTGTCCTTTGCCAATGCTCCAAGCTTATTAGTTCCTTTATGTTTCATTTTTCAGTGGGTTTTGTGACCAGCCTGGGGACCAGGTTAACACTGAGAGAGTTTTTGAGAGTTCAGACCAAGACAAAGTAGAAAAGTAGAGTTACCTATAGAAACTGTAGAGCTGTAATGTATGGTTGAGAAATTACTGCAACACCTGAAAGCTACACAATTTACTCTCTGTAGACAGTAGTTTATTAGACAGATTTGTACAGAAGGAAAAGTGCATTTGTTCAGCTTTCAGCCAAATACAGCAGCACCTGCTCAGGCATAGTTTTGCATGTTGTCTCTTGTTCCTCTGGCGTAGCAAATGGGGACTTAATGGACAGTTGCTTGGGAAGGAGCTTTCATGGGATGTGCGCTGTGTTTTGAGCATGTTGGGTGCACTTCCTCTGAAGAGAAGTGGTAACTCGTTAGTTTGGCACTGGCACATCTGAGTAGAGAAGAAACAGATAAACCCTTTGTCGAGTGGTTCACTGCAAAGATACACCGGTGAGCCACTAGAGGCCAGTGTTTGCTGTCCAGCTTTGCAAGCTTGCCTTTCCCTGAGGGTAACACAACTGTATTGGGGTGGTTTTCACTGCAGCATCTTGGCCCACCGTAAGATTTCCTGACTTGGAATTGTCTGTTCAGTTCAAACTCTTTGGCAACAGAAACAAATGGAAATTATTTTGTATTGTAAATTTCTTTCTGATTAACTGTATCAAAGGAATTAAACTTTCTTTGTTGTTTTTTTAAAAATTCTAACCATATTTAGAATATTAGGATAGTTAATATTCTATGTAGAATATTTGCATAGATAATATTCTATGAAGAACATATTCTATGTAGAACAGGAAAACTGGTCTTAATTACAAGTTGTGAAATCCTTGTAAAATCACAAGCATGTAACTATTGGGGCATTTTTATGGACTTCCATGACCCTGTAAGAACAATGCATTTTAAAAATAGAGCTCTAGTTTTTGTGTTTAAATCTCTTAGTTCATATGAGAACAGTTCTGGTTTAGGCTGCAAGTATAGTGATGATGAAGTCTTGTATTTTAGGTTTGCTTGTAGAGTTATTGTGGCTCCTCTTCCTCTTCTTTGGTGTCTTTAGTGAAAGCAGGATGTGGGAGATTGCCCAGCCTCTGTTAAGAGTTGAATAATCTAGAGGAGCACTAGCTTGGCTGTTGTGAAGGCTCCTGCAGACACCCTGTCTTGTGTTGGCTCTTCTGTCTGCCTGGAGGTGTGGGATTGTGCCTTGCAGGGAGAGAGTTGTGTTGTGGGGAGCAGGTCAGTGGTTGCTGAAAATGTGAATGTTTTTGAATAAAATGCTGTTTTGCAGGCAATATCCTAGAATATTGCACCCTTATCTTTAGGGAGGTCACTTTGCTGCTGTTGCAACAGATTGAGAATGGATTTATTTGTTTGGAGGGATATGTGTTTTAACTGGGAAGTGGGAGGAGTGAGTACTGGGCTGATGATTCAGCGAACAAGGAGCATGCAGGCAGTGTGCTTGTTCCATAACTTTGAAGTCAGTTATCTGAACCAATATGGGGCACTTTGAAAGTGCCTCTATAGCCCTTTTAGCAGTAAATCCCTGTGGCAATCTATTATATAAGCTCTGTAGAGGAGGTGACAGTGTGAGTGAGACTGGTTTGCACAGTGCCTGTCTCCTAGAAGCTTTCATTCTTGTTGGCAGAAGAGGTATTTTGCAGCTAGTACTTTGCAGAACATTTTACGAGTAAGGTAAACCCACAAGTTAGATCTGCAGCCTCCTCTCTGGATTTAGCTTGTAAGCCAAGAGCTAAAATTGATGGGACAATACAGAGGGTCATTTTGGTCTAATGTAGTATGAATCCTTCGTGACCTGTGGAAACTTGTAACTGTGGGAGCAGTCAAGAGGGGTTATACAGCCTGTGCGAGGCTTGGGAGGGATTTGGACTTTTGCTTTGAACAATATTTATCCTTTCAAATTAAGAAGATTGAAACTTCTTCTTAAGTACGTAGAGGAAGGATGAAAACAGCATGGGTGTTTACTGCATTTTTTGTTGAGCTTATCTGTGTTTTCCCATACAGTTATGCTATTTTACTAACAACAGCTCTCTGTCCAACCTCCAGGATCTTACTCCTTACTGCCTGTAGAAGTTCCTCAAAACCACAAGCGTTTCACCTGTGACCTGACTCAAGCTGATCGCCTTGCTCTTTATGATTATGTTGTTGAAGAAACAAAGAAACAGAGGTCTAGATCCCAAATAACAGAGAATGACAGTGATCTGTTTGTGGATTTAGCAGCAAAAATCACCCAAGGTTTGAAGAATGATCTGTTGTTGAATTTATGGCTCATAACTTTCAGTTTGTCCAGTTAGATGGGTTTTGTTGAAAGCCAAGCAGAATCATTTGTGCTGTTTTTCTTGTGAAAGCATACTGTTCTTAAGAGGCACAGCGAAGTCCTGGAATAAGAAAACACTAGTTTGGTGTTGGCCCTTTATGATGTTTTCTTTCTGGGAAAGCCTCAGTGCTTTGCTCTTGGCATAGGTATTGTGTGGACAGATCTTCTGTCTTTGCTACAACTAACTTCAGGTTGATTAATGCTGTCAACTTTCTGCGCAGCTCGGAACAGTATTTGCTATGAGAGATGACGAGATTAAAGATCACTTAAACTGAACAGGGAAGACTGGCAGTCATCCAAGTGGAGCTCTTGAGCAATATACAAATGGGTGTATTGGATCAAAGCCTCTCATCCCTGTTGAGTCATGCCAGTTTGTAACTGTACCAAGTGCAGCATAAGCATCTGTGTCACCCTGTGGGCCATGCTGTGCCAAGGAGGTAGGAGATACTGCTTTACAGAATGTGGCTTTTGCAGTCTTTGGATCTTACTGTAGCCCTGGCTTTGAAAACATGACCCGTGTTTTGTAGGCATTTGACCAAATCACAAGCCTGTATATTGCTTTGGATCATGGTTAGGTCACTTGAGGTCACATAACAACATTTGCTTGGTGGCTTTTTAGTCCTATGCAAACAGCTGGCAAGGACTGTGGAGAGGAAGCTTGTGCTAAACTCATATACTGGAGAAACTTCAGAAAGAACACAACATATTTTATGTGTCTGAAAGTACCTGCAAGTGCTAATGACCATTTGTTTTACTTCCAATTTTTTGCTAGATGATAGTCAGAAAGGTCCAAAGTCCCACCTGGAAATTCTGGCTGAGATGAGAGACTACAAGAGGCGGCGGCAGTCATACAGGGCTAAGAATGTTCATATAACAAAGAAGTCTTACACTGAGGTGAGACCTGAAAATAAAGGCATTTTTGCCTAAAACTGCTTCTTATATATCAGCATAAACAATTATATGCCCTTTTTTAGACAAAGAATATGTGTCTCTTTCTGCTTCTTGTACCTTGCTTTATTATTGTTGCAAACTATAGAGGAATCTTTTTGGCTTTGGTTTGTTGCAGTAAGTTAGAAACAACAGAAGCATTTCTAACTGCTAAGTTTTGAATATGAGGTTGCCAGAAAGATAGAGTTGACTACTGTAAAATAATAAAATTCAAACATCTGATGTAGAGGATCTGAGGGAGATTTTATGGGTTTTTGAGATGCTTACCTTCTGGCTAGTTGCTAGTTCAGGTTACTACCATGACATGTTTGTTTTTAATATATCTTAATCTCCAGGTGATTCGGGATGTGATTGGTGTGCATATGGAAGAACTCAGCAATCACTGGCAGGAGGAGAACAGGTTGGATAATGCAGAGATCTGTGAAGGAGGGAAGTCGAAATCTTCAGGAAGGTATACAACAGCTGGCAGATTCTTGGGGCATGTGAGCAGGCTGAGAGCCTGTAATTTTATTTTATCGTCTTCTAATAGCACATATTAACCGTGTCTGAGACATATGCCTAGTTTATTTTATACTGCTTCTGTTAAATCTTGAGAAGCTCTGTCTGCATGAAAGATGGGGAAAAATTAATTAGTATCTTTCTTTCAGGTTAAGTAGGTAAGTTACAAGTGATTCAGGTGAACAGGTAGTTTCTAGTGGAGCTTGGGAATGAGTAGTGCTCCTTCTGTGTCTAGATGTATATGTATGTGGTAGCTGGGGACAGAAGGACACTTGGAAATACAAGTACACAATTTCTTCCCCTTCCCTATCATATGACAGGAAATGCTATGATAGACATAATATACCTCAGAGTAAAGGTTTCCATAACTTAGTGAATATGGGGAGTATTTGCAGTCCTTATCACTGAATGCTGCTGTGCTAACTGGGAGTGTGTTTTATCTAGACATAATTCTTCCTGTGTCAAGCAACACTGCACACTCTTGCAAACATTTGTCACTGAAACAAAAATGGAATTATGACCTAGTGCTAATCTATTTGTGCGTCTTCAGGATATTTGTGAGATGAGAATATTGTTGAAACAAACTAAAAGCTGACACTGTTTCCAGCATTACAGTGAAGGTGGATGGGTGGCACAGCACTGGAACAGGCTGCCCAGGACGGGTGTGGAGTCTCCCTCTCTAGAGACATTCAAAACCCACCTGGACACATTCCTGTGTAACCTGTCCTAGGTGGTTCCTGCCTTGGCAGGGTGAAGAGTTAGGGATTTAAAGCAAAACAGAGTGAACCCCTTCTATTGCCTCCTGTTTCACAAGCAAAGGTGTTAAGATTGAGGGGCAGTGTTTATAAGAAATAGCTGGATTAAATAGTGTGTTGAAATGTGCACATATAAGAGCTTTGGGCCTCATTTGGGCCATACTGTATTCCTTAGGGAGAGAAAGAGGCTTAATAAAATATATGTCCTCTGTCTTACATGGTTAGTAAATCATTATATTACAAAATGGTCCTGAAAACAGTAGTGACTGAAACTATTTTTATTGACTAAAATCACTAACCCTTTTTTCAGACGGGAAGACAGGCGCTCAGTGTCGGTGGACTCACGGCAGTCTGGAGGAAGCAGTAAGGATACTGAATGCACCAGACACAGGAGAGAGACCAGCAGGAGTCCAAGTAAACGGAGAAGGAGTCGCGAGAGAGGCAAAGACAGAGACTCTCGGAGAAAAAGAGACAGGTGAGCCTAGTGCCAGTGACTCCTGCTCCTCAATCAGGCAGCCACTGCCATTGTCTGTGAGGATTTAGTGCAGAGAATTAGAATATCTAGTCCAGTTAGAAAGGTAGGCTTAACCTCATGTGCAGCATGACAAGCCAGTGGCATGAGGATACTAACAGTAAACAATACATGCTGTGAGATTAGAAACTGTGATCCAGACTTTAGTCTCACAGCTGAAAGGTGGCACTTCCAACAGCATGCTGCAGGACTGGTACAGGCTATTTTACTCCTTGATCAGCATGGTTAAATGGGCAGTATGTCCCTCATCCACAACCAACGGTGCTTGTCATGTCTAATGCTGATTTCTGCTCTAGTTCCTGCTGGAACTTAGTAAGTAGGGTTATTTGTTTCACTAGTATGCATACACATACAGTCACATAGCTTTTCCACGGTAGATGCTTCAAAACAATGCTGTTGCTCTTCAGTACTTCTGGACACATTTTTAAAAGCAAAAGAAAACACATCTAGGTCACACCTTCTAGTACTACCACCAAGGACACATTTGCATCTATAGGACCATAGGTGTGTGGAACCTGTAGCAGAGACTTGGGCTGTTGTGCAGAAGAAGTGCTGCATTGTCCTTAGTTTGTGTGGGTAGAGGCTGTTAGATAACTGTGTGGATGGCAATGATTGCTTGTCTCAAATTGTCTTCATTACACCATGATGCCATTCATCCTAGAGACTAATTGCCACTCTGGCACTGCATGACAAGGCTTTGATTAAATCAGCATGGGAAATAAACTGTCTTAAAGTAATTTACTTTCTCTCCTTAGAAGAGGACATGACTGCATCTAATGAGAGCTTTCCATTTTCCAAGTTGTTTTTTTTTTCCTTCAGATTCTGTCACACTGAGCCTGACAGCCCACACAATGTTTGTGTTTTTGTTTCAGGGATGAAGACAAGTATCACAGCCATAAAAGAAGAAAGTAGAAACCAGAACCTGATTGTTTTGTTTGTCAGCTGTTCGAAAAATTACTTGCCCCCAAGAACTATAGTTGCTGCTGTTGTGCCAGGGACAATAATGCTGTGCACATATTGGTGTTACATCACAGCTGTGCTTGGAGACAAAGAAGAGTTAAAAGTTTGTCAGGATGGAAGCAGTGTATATCAGGAAATGTGTAAATCTGTAACATTCATGCATCTGTTAATAAATTATATTGATCTCATGTGTCTGACACATCTGAAAAATAAAATCTCTGAGAGGCCCATAGTAGGCCCCTTCCTGGCCCATAGTTAGTGGATATAGAACAGAGGTAATCCTAGAGTCCAGGATCAGTTTCAAATAGAAAAGGCATGAAGAGAGCTCCCCTCGTACCCAACACTGTCACCTCTGGGAACACTGTTCCAGGCAGACAGCACTTACTATGTAATTACAGCAGGTACTAGAGAGCAGATTTCAGAGTTCTCCCACAGGCTAAAACATCTTCAACTGTACCTAGCGGTAAGAGGACAATAACCCAGAAGTTACTGTGCTCAAGCTCATGCTCAAAGAAATTTTGGATCAATGTCTGCTGGCAAAGATGATGAGACTGTAGCTCTCCACAGAAACTAATGGAAAGGCTCCAAGGACACTTGTAATACTGCTAAGTACCATACCCATTTCCTTCCCAAAATAAATAAAAGAAGTTCCCATCCTGTGGACTAACAAACAAATAGTAGTGATTAGAGGTTGAAGGAACAGACTTAAGCAGAAACATACTAAGGCTGTGCCGAAGGATTCCACTTCATTGAGATTTTTATATCAGTTTCTAGTTGTGTTAATTCCTCACACAATCTACTACAGCAAGGTCAGTCGCCATCAGCCAAGCTTCTACCTCAGCAAAGTAAGCAGCTTATAAAAGAACAAGCCTGCAGATTGATCTTTCCTACAATACTTTGTTTGACCAAGGTTCCTACAATACTTTGACCAAGGTGCCAGGAGAGGGCACTCCATGTGCTCCTGGTTTTGGCCTTTTCTGTCACTAGAACATGTCCAATCTTATTGTAGCCACTAATATCTTCTTTGATCCCTCAGCTGTTTCTGCAGCTAAGTGTGATTATCTGTCACTGAATACTTAGTCTAGTTCAGCAGTTGAACTCAAAACCAAACAACTGTATCAGGTATTCCCCACCTACATGACATACGCAGTAGCTTTTGCTGTCAGAAAAGAAGACATCTTTAAACAGGTCTTTAATTAGACAAATTCATCGTACTTAAGTTCTAAAAGGGTCCTAATTAGAGGGAAAACACTATGGAACCAGTGCAGTCCTTTCTTGAGTTGGTTTTGCCTACCTGCTCATTCACAGGGTTCTTAAGTTCTTTTTCAGTAAGGCTTGGTAAAGTGAAAGGGTTTGTTTAATAGAGGATGTTCAGGCAGAGAAGGTAGTCAAAAGACAAACTGTTTGTGCAAGAGTCAAAATACAGTTAGTGCTACCAGAAGCATAATGAGAAATGCTCCAGTTGTAGCTGTCAGGTCTTCTCTAAATTTAATTCTGCACTTTACTTTTTCTTTACAATCACATATGAAGTCTAGGTATGGGGATCCATAACAAATATCTTTTACTCAGTATAAGCAAAGGAGTGAAGGGATTGCTCCCTAGGTGTGAGCATCAGAATTTGAGAGGCAGAACAGTATAACCATGTGTTCAATTAACATCTCCAAAGGGCCATTACAAGAATGGGATACAGAAAAGGAAATACCAGGGAAGAGGGTCTTCTTGTGCGGTAATGTGCAAAGTATGGTACTTTGAACACAAATTATTTTTTTTTAGTTTACTTATTCACTTTCTTTTTCCTCATGCTGAACAGGAGGGTTGGTCAAAACTGTTGAGACTTGGGGCAGAAAGTGTCTGAGCATCACCATGCCATTTTGTTGGTCACTGAAAAGGAACAGAACGAATGTTTTAGAATAAGATTTACCATGTTAAAGTGTCAGTGTGTTGGACAAGGTACAATTTAGGCTTATATGAACTGTAAGCAAAAGTGATGTGACTTAAAATTGTCGACCTGGTAACTCTAATGACAAAACAGATCAGTTTATTTATATACTCAGGTGTTTTTGAGCTCCCATGTACATGCAGCTGGTAGTAATCTAAGACAGTGTGTTGGATTTGTGTAGCAAGGTTCTGGTAGCCAGCAGGGACTACAGGGGTGGCTTCTGTGAGAAGCTGCAAGAAACTTCCCCTATGTCCAGCAGAGCCAATGCCAGTGGTTCCAGGATGGACCTGCCACTGGCCAAGGCTGAGCCCATGCTGGAACAGGGGAGGAGTGTGAGGAGTCCTTCCCCAGGGGAGTAAGGAGCAGCAGAGACAATGTGTGATGAACTGACCACAGCCCCCATTTGCTATTGTCCTGCTCTGCTGAGGTGGGAGGAGAGAGAAAAAAATGGAGAGTGAATTTAAGCCCAGGAAGAAAGAAGGGGTGGGGGAAACATGTTTTAAGATTTGATTTTTATTTGTCATTATCCTACTCTGATTTGATTGGTCATAAACTTATTTCCCCAAGTCCAGTATGTTTTACTGGATGTAATAGATGGTACTATTACATACTATCCAGTATGTTTTACTGGATGGTAATAGATGAGTGATCTCTCCCTGTCCTTATCTCAACCCAAGACCCTTTTGTACATTCTCTGCTCTGCACAGCTGAGAAGAGGATTGACAGAGTGGCTCTGGAGGACACCTGGTGTCCAGCCAGTGTCAGCCTACCACGCACAGAAAGATGAATTCCAGGTAGGCGGTAGGAAGAATGAGTATGCAAACATGCTGCACAGGCAGCACTCAGAGGACAAGCCTGTTAAGGATCTTTTTTAATTGGTTAAAGTGCATTTTATGTGACCTATGCGTGACTATGGATAAAATGAGAGAACTCCCAGTCTCTCTCTCTGGTTTATAATCCATGTTAAATCAAAAGAGCAGCCCATAAGATGCTGCTGGTACCAGAACCAGTAATATGCAGATCATACAAACCTGTATAAAATTGCTTCCTACAGGGAAAAATATACCACTAGATAGTGACTTCAGGATCTCAGAGAAAGATGGATAAATAACATTTATCTTTTAAACCATTCAAACATTGAGGTTAACAAAAAAGGCTATGTGTACTTTTGATATAATATTAGTCAACCTTTACTCTTGTAAAGGCTAAGCTCAAAGTGAAGATAGACTATTCACCTGAAATTAAAGGTTTATGGAGAGATCAGAGGTGATAGATACATTAAAATTCCATGCATGGATTTTTACTTACGCCTCTTCTTTAATCCTCTGGAGGAATGCTTCAGTGTCCTCCTCTGGTATCTCTCCATCAATCCTGGCCAGATACGAGTAAATGAATGAGAAGGTTTCAAAGGGAACCCGAGCTGCTCCACCTTCTGGGTCGCTTGTTAAGATTTCGCAGGCATGTTTCATCGACCCCAGTAAGGACTGCAGGGGGGTCAGTCAAGAAATGAGAGGAAAAGTGTCAGAGCCATGAACGTCCTATGCACACCATGACAAATTCACACTGTAAGCCACTAAAAGTGAGGGTAAATGCGATAAGGATTTTATCATTGTTACCTAGCTTTAAAGCCCAAATTGACCTTTCAGTGCAGGTTCAGGGATGGAAACAGTAATGAAGTTCTAGTAGAGACAGGAGTAAAAAACACCAGAATTCTGTGATGCTTAAAGATTGCGTGGGGTAATTTGAGCCCTATCTCCAATATGGCCAAATTACTCTGTTCTGCTACTGTAAAAGCTCCAACATCACAATATCTAGTGATTGACACTCTTCCCTACTGTAGAAATCATTAGAAGTATTATACTGTGTAAGAACATCAGCCTAGTGCATTTTATAATCTTTGATTCTGTTGAAATGCTCTGCTGAGATTTTACTACTGACATTAAAAGAATTAAATGTAGCTTTAGGAACATTAACTGCTGCTGTGAAAATTTAATTGACTACACAATCAATAAAAATGGATGCTTTAATTTCTCCCTCCAGTTCTCTTCCATGGACATTTACACTGATGCCATCAGCATCGTTCCTCTATCACCCTCTCTCTCGTGGTACAAACTCCCTGCAGACATGCTCACTTTTCTACTGCCATCCCAGTAAACTGAGGACTTAGCCAACTTTCTGGTTAAGTTCCCCTGACCAAAACCTGATGGGGAACAGAAGTAAACATGCAAGCCACTTTGCCAGCTGCTGCAAAAGCAATCACCATTCCCCAAATCCATTGCATTAATTGCTCTCTGGTCTATGTCATAGATAACCATTTGTGTTTGGATACGAGGGCTCCTGCTGGGAACATACCCCACTGAGCATGCTGCACCCAAGTGCCAGAACCTTCGTCCATTCCACCTCATCACCAAAATCATCCAATTGCAGGATAGCTTTCAGCGGCTCCTCTGGCAAGCACAAGTCCTTCCATTTTTCCTTCAGTTCTTCAACAGTCACCATGCCTCTGGGAGAAAGCTTTAAACAAAATCACAGCATCACAATAAAAGCTCCGAAAACCAGAATGAATCTAACAACACAGTGCTTCCCCAAAAAACATCAAATACTTGACACTCAGTCTGCCCAGCCACCTCAGACACATCAGCACTCTCCTCAATAGCATTGTACATTTGATCAAGATCAGTTTATACCTGTTTGTGCAAGACTTTCAGGAGTCCTAGGGTCAAACCAGCATCTGTTTTCTCTGTTGCGAAGGGCATTTCAATCCTCTCCTTCACAGGAAGGGGCTCACCTTTTGACAAGGCTGAAAAATACCTAAGTCAACAGGAAGAGTAACACACCTCAATGCCGATGGCCGTAACACACTGCACAGAAGCAAATGCTCTTACAGTTCAGTGAAAGACTATGAAAGCTCATGCACAGGAGCAGCAGCACTTGGCACCTGCCTGCACGCACAACCCCCATCTCCCTGTGCCCAGATACCACCTTCTTTTTAGCAGAAATCACAGTCTTTAGACTTTACATGCTCCCTTTCATGACATTCTAATAATTCTTAAGGCATTTAACTTATTTTTTTGCATTATATACTCAGCTCTTCCTGGCAAAGACAGAGTGATTTATTAACATCACAGTGTGCTTCCAAACCAAAGTACAGACCTCTCCCATTTGACTGATGAGACCTGAGGGATCATCTGTTTAACATTCCCCTCACACACTACCCAAAATGCATATCTGCCTATTCACACTGTGACTCTCTCATCAGCATTTCTGCTATTTCTGTGCACTCCAAAATAAGAGTAGAGCAGAAAAGGCATTAGATGCACATCCTTTTAATTTTAAGGCTGCCATAGCCTTAAGAGCAACTGCCCTGCCATAACTGGACAGCGACCTGAGCTGGCTGGTGGCATGGCCATGGCAATGCCACACTGCCCCTGCTCTCACCAGCTGATGTCCCAGCAGGCTCCAGCTACCCTGGCAAGTGCTGCTTCTGGCTGCTCAGGTGGGGCAAGCTCACTGCACATCTGTCACCCAGCAGTACACTGCACCCCACCTCCATGTATTCCCAAGAAACACCATGCCTTTTTAAAATGGTCCCAGTGCCCTTCTCCAACACTGCAGCTGTAGCAATTCAGCTTCAGATTCTTTTCTTTTTTAATGGACAAGCCAGATTCCAGCCTGGCTTTGTGCACAGCCTCCCCTCCTCCCTCATGTGCACGGTTCAGGTGTTTTCCAGTCTCCCAACTGAGAACACATCAAGACACATTTCAAGAGCTTGCCCACACAAACCATAGGACAGGAAAAAATTATAGTGAGAGGCTGAGGTAAAAGGAACAAAAAAAAGAATTTAAAGCATTTAAACATCTTAAACTAACTTTATAGTGAGAGATTTATTACATGGATTATCACCTAAAAGCTGTAATTTTTCAGGCACTTTTACCAGAAAGAAGAAGCCTAACCAACATTAAGAAATATAAAGCCAGTTTCTAGGTTTCCTTTACATTATAATAACTCTCACATCAGAGGAGAAAAGCCAAACCAAACCAAACCAAACAGGTTTAGCCTTGAAGATAAAAAAAGTAATAACAAAACCAAATTAAGACGCATTTTTCTGTATGGAAATCAAACTACTGCAGGAACAAGTCATTGCTAAACCTCAAGGAAACAGAAAATAAATCAAGTACCACCCTATTTTTAAAAGGCTCACATGCTGCATTAATACACAGCAACATGTATGCAATATGCACATTGCTTTAATACTCAAAGCCTGTTCCACAGCACAATAAACAGGAGCAGTTAGATTTTGTGGGTCCACACATATAAGCTCTCCATCGTTATGTGAACATCATACTTACGCAGCTGCCCACTGCAAAACATCATGAGGCTGAGTCCTAATAGCAGCTTTAGTAAATTGCTTCAGAATATCAGGTAGCTCTGGGGGGATTTTGATCTGCTGAGCACAAAACATGGTTTCTGGAAGAGGCATGGTCCCTTCCTATTCAGTCACAAGGACCTGAAAGAAAGAAAATAGCAGGTCACAGATGCAGAACGTGAATGAAAAACTGTGTGTGCACATGGGGGTGAATAGTGCTTGTCCCCAAACTCCCTCCTGTCCTACTCAACAGCTGGGGCTACTGGAGAACTGACAGGCTCAGAAGGGTAAACAGAAGAGCACTGTATGTCTCTAAAAAACTTAAACTTAGTGGCAACATCAAGTAGAACACTGGAGCTTGGACACCAACCATAGCTCTGGGTAAGGAGAACTTTAACAGGCACCTTTAAATAGTTTTAAACTGATCTTTCTCCTCAAACCTACCACAATACACGTTTGTAAAAGAGGCAGTCCAGACAAGTCACACCACACATGCCAACAGGAAAGCTGGCTGTGCTGACAACTCACTAGTGCATGCCAAGGAGAACCTTGTGATTTCTGTACAGAAGCCAGAGTATGCAGATGAGAAAATGTGTACTGTGTTTACATATTCAAATATGTTGTGGAAAAAAAACTTACTAATTTGTGCTCCTGGTAGACTTTACATCAAAAAATTACATGGATGAACAGAACATTCACATGTGCTGCAACCAGGTGTGGCACTTTGCTCATACAGCTCTACAGGTGTTTGTCTCAATCAGGATGTAACTCATTTGTTGCAAGGAATCCTGTTCCCCAAGATCCAAAACAAGGGACAGAGACAGGCTATTGTATGGTCCTTCTCCCATTACAGCAGTGGGGCACACTGGGTGGGAGATCTGAGCACTCTTCTCACCATTTCAAGGATGAACTATAGCCTGCTTAAGCTAATTTAGCAACAAGAGCTGAAAACATCAGTTATTTGCAGAAATGCAGAGCAGTGAAAGCACTAGCATCCTCTTGTAAAAGGTTGCATATGAGTTTG